CATGACAAAGTTCTAAATAATTTTTTAAGATTGTGCTTTGATTTGTACTTACTTGTAGTGTCTCACTGCACCTTCGCTCTTGCTCTCTGGTAGAGATAAAAGGCTCTGAAGGGAGGGATGTGACCATCCCCTGCTATGCCCCCCCTTACCTGAACAACCCGTCCCTCGAGTGGAGCTTCTCCAACGGGAAGGACCTCTCCCACATCCTGACCTACGACAGCGGGTCAGGGCGCAGCTCCTCTGCGCCTTCCTGGGACCAGCACGTGGAGCTGGACAGCTACAGCGTCCCATTTGGAGACGGCTCTCTGCGACTAATGGACCCCAAACACGCGGCGCACACGGGCAGCTACACCTGTGTGTTCTCAGTGCCGTACAACAACCACACAGAGCGCATTGACGTCACCATCAACGTCGATGCTCATACCAGTGAGAGAACAAACAGTCTTAAGCCTGCTAGTGGGCAAACTATGTTTTCAGAGCCTCTTCAATGGTTTATCTGCACCCCACTGGTTTGTTTTGATACTCATCTTATGTGCTTATCTCAGTAAAGAAACCCCTAATATGAACGTAATAACAGTAGATGCCACACACGTTAGTTGTCTGTTAAAGTTGGCACAACACTGGGATGGAAACCTGGCTAATGGCTGGGGCCAGCAGTTATACCACTACTTTACATTACAACCTTCCCAGTCTGCAGGCGAGAGACGATGTGTTATTAAGTCCAGGCAGAAATGGATGAGTGGCAACCGCTGTTTTACACAAATTTAGCTGTATCTTCCCTTTAATTATTTTTAACATGCAGATAGAGCAAAACAGACAAATATCAGAGACAAACACTTTGGTTTTGTTCATAAATATAAAATAACCAGTGTGAAACAAGTGGTACAAACAACAATAATAGTTGTGAGGTGAGAAAAACCACTGTTGCTATAGCTCCCTGTGCCATGTTGAAAGTGTATATATCTGCTGCCTGTGTGCAGGTGAGCCCAGCACATTCAAGAAGCCATCTTACTGGTGGGTTGCTGTTCTGGTGATCGGTCTGCTGGTTCTGGGTCTGGTCGCACTGCTGCTGTACCTGAAAAAGAAAGGTAAAGCTGGACTCCAGGAGATGACGATATAACACAAACATGTCCGAATACAATCTGTATTCTCACCTCGAGCCCAGATGCATTCTGGGAAATGTATGCGGAGAGAGAAGCAGACATGGATGCTCAAATAAATGCAAGAAAAACAATAAAGCAAATTAGAATAAAAGATCTGATGGCGAAGAGTTTATCTTAAGAGTCTGAACAGGTGCTTTTTAGTTCAGTATTGATTGTTGATTGATCGTGTCAGACATTCTCACAAACATTTTCTCTCTCTCTCTCTGTTTCCAGGAAACACAAAGAGGAAGCCTACAAGCGAACCTGAAGAGGTGGCGGAGTTGAATGAGGTCAGAGGTCAGTCATCAAGATAAAATATCAGGTGAACTATGAACCACTAGATGGAGCCAGAGGACATTCTATAGTTAGTCCTCACTGATACTGGTAGGGTGGGAAAAACATCTGGAGCACCTCTCAGTATAAGGCAGTAAAATTCAGACTATAAACTGAATCAATCTCTCTGAAACAGTCATGTGTCCAAGTGAGGTCCTCACTGATGTGGACGCCCAGGTATTTGAAGCTGCTCACCCTCTCCACTTTGAGGCCCCAGATGAACAGCGGCCGATGAGATCTCCTCTCCTTCCTCATGTCCACTATCATCTCCTTCATCTTGTCCGTGTTGAGGCTGAGATTATTGTCCTTGCACCATGACACCAGACCGGTCACCTCCCTCCTGTAGGCTGCTTCGTCCCCGCCAGTGATGTGACCCATCACTGCAGTGTTTTCCGCTAACTTTAGGATGATGTTGTTTTTGTGGGAGGCAACACAGTCGTGGGTGAACAGGGTGTAGAGGATGGGACTGAGGACACATCCCTGTGGGGTGCCAGTGTTTGTAACAATGCTGGCTGAAGTCCTATTGCCAATCCTGACAGTCTGGGGCCTTCCAGTCAGAAAGTCCAGGAGGCAGTCACAGAGGGTGGGGTACAGACCTAGTGTGGACAGTTTGTGGGGGACAACTGTATTGAAGGCGGAGCTGTAGTCAATGAAGAGTATCCTGATGTAGGCGTCTCCGTTTTCCAGGTGAGAAAGGAAATAGTGGAGGGCAGCCGCAACGGCGTCCGGGGCGCCCCTCGAGGGGCGCCAGTGCTACT